CTGAAACAGGAGTTGGAAAAGCGTAATTTGGCCACCTCCGGAAGAAAAGTGGAATTGTTATCCCGGTTGCGAGAGGCTGTGGAAGCTGAAGGCATCGACGTGGACAAATACGACTTCCAAGGTAAACCCGACGATACATCCGCAAAGGACGAACAGGAGGATGAGGCCGCTTGTTCGTCGAAGGATATGCAGCAGACATCCGGGAAGGTTGAAGAACAGCAAAAGGCTCCGTCGTCATCACCAGCTATGGACATGAACACGTTATTGGCTGCCATGTCAGAGATGTCATCACAGATTTCATCCCAGCTGCAAGTGCAGGAAACACGCATGTCCTCGCAGCTGGAAGCACAGAAAACGTACATGTCATCGCAGCTAGATGAAAAGATTACTCAGCTACAAGAGAATTTATTTAAAGATAACGCGGAACTCAGAGAGAGACAGGATAAAATCGAGGAACGACAAGATAAAATCGAAGAGCTAATTCAGGAGAAAGTCGAAGCAAAGGTAGAAGAGTTGGAAAGTCGCCTCCGAGATATGCAGTTGATTCGCCCACCTTCTTCGACCAGCGCGCCCAAGGTAAAGACCCCATCCTTTGACGGCACGATTCCTTTCCAAGTCTTTAAGCTCCAGTTTGAGAAGACAGCTACAGCAAATCACTGGAGCATGGAGGATAAATCCGCTGCACTGTTCGTTGCATTAAAAGGACCTGCAGCGGAAATCTTGCAGACTATTCCTGATTGTGAAAGGAACAGTTACGATAGGTTAATGGGTGCAGTGGAAAGACGTTATGGTAGCGAGCACAGGAGACAGATTTACCAGATGGAGCTGGAGAATCGCTGCCAGAAATCCAACGAGACTTTACAGGAATTCGCTTCCGAGATCGAAAGGTTGGCTCATTTGGCAATTGGAGATGCATCTGGTGAGCACCTCGAAAGAGTAAAAATCCAGAGGTTCATCAACGGAATGCGGGACATGTATACCAAGCGAGAGACGTACGCGAATCCAAAGGCAACATTTGCTGAAACCGTCTCGTATGCTCAGATGCGTGAAACGGCGGCGCTCCTAAGTAGACCAGCCTACAAAGCACATCGCGTGGAAG